TTTTGTTCGTATATAGTTTTTAAAATCATTTAAATATCCAGGGTCAGAGTACTTTATAGAGCCAAATGCTTTGGAAATTTGTATTGTACCATCAGCAACTGACTTTGATAACCCAAAATCACCAAGTCTTATGTCTTCTTCATGAATAAAAATGTTGTCTGCATGCTTTATAAAATAATAATAAATTATTTATCATTTCAAAAAAGGAAAAAAAAAGTATAATTTAAAAAAAGGATTTACCAAATCTCTATGAATTATATCATTATTATGAAGACATAATATAGCATTTGAGATTTGGTTAGCAAATTTTAATTTTAGATTCCAATCCATTTTATCAAAATTTTTTGATAAGTAATGAGATAGTGTGCCATTATTTGCATACTCCATGACTAGCATATATACATCTAAAATAAAGATTTTTTAATAAAAATTAAAGCCCATTTACATGAGATAATAATAGTTTTTTACCATTTTTGGTTATGCCATAGAAGCCTATAATATTATCATGCATTTCAACCTGCCGATGTAGTTGAAGCTAAAAAGAAAACATTAAGATTAATAAAATCATATTCAGCAAATATAATTGAAGGCAAATATAGACATTACCTCATTTATAATTTGTTTAAATGATTGCTCAGAAGCAAGGCCATTTTTCAATGATTTCAAAACCATGTATTTCTTGTAGTGAGTATTGTACGTCTTATAAATTGTTCCAAATGAACCATGTCCAATTTCATTAATATCATTGAATACTTTATATTGATGAAATTGCAAATGCCGGTTTTTAATTGCTTCATCAATCCATCTGCTCATTTTTTTATCTTTATCTTTATTATTATAAGGTGTAAAGGTTGGAGAGTGTGATTCATCTTTAAGTGTATATTCATTATCATTTTGATGCTCATCACATAACCATAAAACATTCTGGGTTTTTTTATCAATGCATTGGACTAAGCCTCCAAAATTTTCAGGATTTTGTTGACTCTTAACATAACCTATGCAAAACAAAGATTATAATTATAATTGTAGTTATAATAAAAATAATAGTATTTCTTAGGAGACAATTTTATGAATTTGCTTACTTGCTAAAGCACATATTCCTGAAGCATTTAAAACCTGATGCTCATATTCTTCATCATAATCTAATGGAGCAAAATCAGGATTACTATCAACAATTTCTTTTGCTCCAATTCCAATTGTATCAATTATCTCTTGAAAATATTGTACAACTTCATCACTGTTGCCAGTTTTTATATTAAATATTCCTGAAAGAATATTGTCTATTTCTTGTGGAAATAAATTACTGGTCACCATGTGTAATCCAGGTATCAAGGCTTTAATACTAATGATGATAATTTATTTATTAATTACAGAAATGTTTAAAAAATTTTTTCTGTAATTTGTACCAGTCAATTTTTTACCATAATTGTATCCAAGGTCCATATTTTTTAATGAATTCGGGGACTTTTTTGATTCCATAGCCCTTTTGTTTAGGTACATGCCAATGATTATTGTGTTCACATATGAAATACATTCTGAATGGGTTTGTGTACCAGGTTCTGCAAAAAACAATTATTTTATTATTTTATATAATCAAATGATAAATCTGGTAAATTTTACCTACAATGGGTTTTTAAATTCATAACGCTCAGGTATTATAATAAAGATGTGGGGTGTTTTTTCATTCTGTATTTTTATCAACTATTTAAACCAAAAATTGGCATATTAATCACATATAAATCATAAACAAATAAAAATTTGCAAATGATAAATACCATTTGTGGAATTGTTTCAGTAAGATTTGATACAGCAGCAATACACTCTTCTACTTTCTTGTTCATCTCTTTCAAACATATTTTGATTCCTTGATGATATCTTTCCAAGAAC